AATACCTCCCACCCCAATATATAAATGTAACGAATTAAGTGAATAAATTATGCTCGGTAGCCAGGTTTGAGAAATCGACAGAGCAATTAGAACAAGCCAAGCTTTTACCTCGGATGTAAGACAGGCGGAATCCCTGAGCTTGCCCTGAACTTGAGGGGTCTGCGTGGAAAACTATCCAGACATGATCCCTGGCAGAGATGAAAGAAGGAGGGATGAAGGATCCACACACTCGGTATTCCTCCCTCTTGGAAGACGGCCCAATCATCAGCCAATCTACTGAACACTTTGGGGAATCCTCCAAATCAAAGTTCTTAAAACTGCCAAGAGAAAAAAAAGCAGCACAAATGAAGGGAGATGCACTCGTACTTATCAGAAATACAAACAGGAGTCACTGATAGTTGTTTGGTTTTTTTAAAAAATGATGTTTGATTGACTTCATCGAACTAAAGTCCAGAGTCACCTTATAAACTAACGTTTATTGATGCAGGATGCAAGTTGCTTGTCCCTCAGAGGGCAGACTTTGATGGAACTTCTATCATGTGCAGACTACCACAAAATAATAGATGTAGGTCAGCTGAGAAACTGTGAACTGGGCAAAGGATTTTTTTGGGGGGTAAAGTTTCTTTTTATCAATATGCCACACTGAAAAGCTTCTTGCAGTTCTAATGTAATTCACATAGAAGCCATCATTCATTGTTACTAGGAAAAGCCATCTTTAGTACTTTCTCTCATTCCCTATAATCAAACAGCCTTAAAAGCTTACCCTCCGCCTGCAGCCTAGTCGATTATAATTAGCCTTGCAAATTCATCAAATATACAGTTTGGTTAATTAAATCAATCAAGGTTCTCCATTGTTGGCCTTCTTGAAATCAGTAAAAATAACATTTTTTTCCAGTGGGCTTTTAATTAAACCAACAATTCACTGCTGGGCTTTGATATTGTCTCTGGATAATTTAATTTTGATTCAGATGGTTTTGGCTGTGGAAAGTTTGTTAGACTCTCCTTTTTCAGCAGTCAGGAGGGGGTTGGTATGGTTATTCTTTAATCTTATGCCTGATTTATTATTTTTTAGTTTCGTTGCTAAGGATTTGGCTTTTACGGGTGTGTTGCGCTGTTTCTGCTATTATCTCATTGTTTTAATGCTTTTGGGGGAGGGTGTTATACTGTTTTAATCTGGCAAGTCACTCTGGGTGCCATTGGGGCAGGAGGGCAAAAAATTCATATCTTCAACAAGCAAACAAGTTTCTTTTTTTTTTAAGTTAGCAGCTCTAAATGAAATGTTCAGGAATTGGCAGGAGGTGGATGTCTAACTTGGCTCCCCTATGTGGGGGGAGGGAATTATTGATGTTATCAGTAAAGCAACTGTATCTCCCAATTAAACAAGAGAAGTCACTGTTGTCTGCTAGTCTAAATAAGGGCAGGCTGTGACTACAGCTGAAACCTTAATTGGCTCATTAAAAACGTTCTGCCTAACTGTTTAGAACAAGAGAATAGGAAGTTAGAAAACCTTGGTTGTATTCCCAGCTCAGCTACTGGCAGGGTGTGTAACCTTACGCCAGGCACAAAGAACCTGATTTGCAAGCCTGAGGTCCTTGAAGCTTCTACAGAGGTCCAGAAGAACTGGTGCAAACACAGACCAGAGTGTCTGTCTCTGTTAAAGTAGTATGGGGCAGACTCCACCAGGTAGTTTGTCCACAGATACTAATGAAGTGAATGACAGCTGTGTGACAATTTTTGAAACTGAGGCCCCGGTCACAAGGGAGGTTTTGCCCCGCAAGAGGGACGAATCGGGGGGCGCATCAAACGGCCGCGATCACACCGCAACATCGGGAAGTGTAGCGCACCCGTCCCCGATCCGTCCTTTCCGGGGGGAAACGCAGAGCAAAAAAGAACCTAGAAAAGAGTACTACCTACATCAAGCTCTACAGCAAGGGTGGCCGTGGGATCGCCAGCACACCCTTCTTCCGCAGCATTTGAGGCTCCCGGCCAAACTGCGCATGCACGCACATGCGCAGCTGGCTGCCTTGCTCTCCGTCCCGTGGCTTCTCCCCCGGCATCTGATCGTGCCGGGGAGCAACTGCGCGGCGACTCGGGGATCTGTCTGATCCCACCGCCATGCATCTATTTTGCTGAAAAGCCGCCCCTTTGCGCGGCTCCCCCCCCCCCCCGTGTGACCGGGGCCAGAGAGGATTTTTCAAAAGATATTGTATGATGATGGTGAGCATCTCCTGGTTTGTTTTTTTTGGGGTGTCAACCATCCCATGGGATTACTTAAAAAGCATTCTTCTGTTCAAATCAATTAACAGCCATGTTTGCAAAATTGGGCCTTTTCATAAAAATCCAACCAGGTGGTTTTAATTATCTGATTTGGATCGTTCTGCCCTCTCTGCATTAAAAGTCATACCAAGGAAATATTTTGTTTAAGGCTTCCCTGCTTAGGAGGGCAGCTCCAGGAAATAAGGCAGGACAACACCAAGAAGTTAGCAGTGATATGTCATACAAAACTATAACCAAGACTGACTACAATTCAAACTGTGGTTTCAATATACTGGTTTGATATACTCTAACAAACCACAGTTAGTGGAGCAGCCCAGATTTGGATGATCACAGTAACCACAATTAGTTTAATTAGAGCATGGTATGAGAGAGAGAAATAAATAAGCAAACCAACTAGCGATGGGGGGAGCCAATGCAAGAGGATCGGGAGTCAGTTAAGATTTTTACAGCTGCATTGCCCTGATCTCGATAGCCCAAGCAAGCCCGATCTCGTCAGATCTTGGAAGCTAAGCAGGGCCAACCCTGGCAAGTAACTGGAAGGGAGACCTCCAAGCAATGTCAGGGCTGAAGACGCAGAGGCAGGCCATCAAGCCACCTCTCTGTAACGTCCAAAGCCCACTAGGGGTTGCCAGAAGTCACCATGACTTCCAGGCATGCAAGCACACAAGCCCACAGTGTGTGTGTGTATGTGTGTGTGTGTATATATATACATATATATTTACAACTGCATTTTGTCAGTTGAAGGTTGCAAGATGGCAGTTAGAGCAGACAGTCTGGTGAAAAGGGTCCCTACAATGAGACAGTGTGCTGAGTACTGTGTCCTGAAACTGTCGTGGAACAGAGTTACTTGAACTAACTGTTTAACAAGAGTATAACAGAAAGAAACTTGCTTGGAAAGGTTAAAAAATGCAGTCACACTCCTCTTTGTTCATTGTTTATATTTACTTCAGTTGTGCTGTTTTAAATAAACTCATGTCTCGTTCAGTTTTAAAAAGGAGACCATCACTATTCCCCCGCACTGCTCACTTAACAGTCCAGTGTTTTGTACCCTAAAAGGAAAGGTTGTCTATCTTCTCAAACTTTTATTCCCACTGGAATCCCCTTGTGCTGTGGGGGAGGTGGGAAAGCGACAGAAATCCCAAGGTGGTTCTATCCTCTGTAAATTATCACACATGGTTTTGTTGTGTCTGAACCAAACCATTCTCCCTGAACCAACAAACTATGGTTTGCTCTTTCCCAGAAAACCCAAATTCCAATCTGTGGTCTAAGCCAGGCTTAGAATCCTGGTATGGAGGGGTAAAGTGCAAACTATTCAACTTTAACAGCAGCTTGCCACGAAAATAGGAGCCTCTAAAGAGCGTATGGTGGAAGGAGGAACCGAGCATGCACAAAGATCTACCAGTTTTGTTTAAATAGCAACAAACAACGCTTACGTCTCAGGAAAACATAGGCAATTATCTCTCAGCCTATCCCTTGAAAAATTTAACTTCACAGAGGAAGAGAAAGATAAAGTTCACTCACACATGTGCTTCACTTGATTTTTTTTAATACTGATCAGCTTTTTAGTGTTGTTTTACCTATTTTTATGAAAATTGTATTATTCCTTGTTTTTATTGACTGGGTGTTATTTAAAGAGAAAGACAGGCTATAAACTAACAGGTCCATAACGGGACCTGAATCTCCACTACAGAGGACTACAATGTGAAAAAAAGAAACCAATCACTGATCTTACCTAATAGTGATCACGTCACCCCTATCACCTTGGATATACCAACTGCAGTTGACGTCTGGAGGATAGTTTAACGGCCAGGAAGGGCTGTAGATGACTCCACGTCGTTCAGTGTGCTGTTCTGGTTTTCCACTGCAAGCTAATGACAGCAACAAAAATACTCAGCGCTAAAACTTAAATGCATATATTGCCACCATAGCTTTCATCAGTCTTTAAACATTTTCAGTGCTAGCTTATTATTCTTCCGTGCCCTTTTTACTTTTGTAAATTATTTGTCCTTGATGCAGTTCAACAGACATCTTCTAGAAAGGGATCAAACACCCCAAACGAGCCAGTCAAGTGAATATAATCAAGAATTTTTCACAAATCTGCCAAAAGAGGGGGAAAAGTGCCGAAAGCCCACTCATAAACCCACTAGAAATGCCTCCTAGCAACCAGAAGAAATTCATAGCCAACCACAAAATAACTACAACATTGTTTTCTAGCCTAGTTCTTCTGCAAAGAGGTTGGTTTTCCTTGTTCCTAAAATTAGGGCCTTCGGGACTTGAATTTTTTACAAAGATATTCTAAAATTGCTCTCAGATGGCAGCAACTTTTGGGATCCGCCGCTATACTGTTACTTCTGAATTTGGGGGATGGGTTGCAGGTCAGCACTGCAGCACATGCTCTGCATGCAGAAGGCTCCAGGTTCAAGCCCCAACATCTTGAGTAAAAGGACCTGCTAAATGAGGGAATTTCTCCTTTCTGAATGCTGACGCAGTTGCTTCTCCCCTTCCTACACTCAAGTGGACAGTGCCTTCCCTGCTTTCTCTGTGATTTTATACTTACCATAAATAAATAAATGTAGAGCCTAAAATTAGATTGCTGTAATGAAAAGGGTTTTGAGAGTCAGTACTTGGCTCTGGCATCACTTACTGCATATTAATTATTTTTCAGAATGACTAATTAATTTAGACGAGTTTTTCTCTCTTTTTAAAGGGATGTGAAAAGCAACAGAACAAGAGCACTGCCATACTGAAACTGCGTTCCACAAGTGAATCTGAATAAATCTGAAAAAGAAAGGTGATTCAGGGAAGATCCTGACCTTTCTTTCAGATCTCTGTTCTGCAATTTTTTTGTTGTTGGTAGTCGCACAGTCGAGACCGACTCTTCGCGACCCCATGGACCAGCTCCCGCCAGGCCTTCCTGTCTTCCGCCGTCCTCTGAAGTTGGCTCAATTTCATGTTCGTTGCATCTATGACACTGTCTAACCATCTCATCCTTTGCCGTCCCCGTCTTCTTTGACCTTCAATCTTTCCCAGCATCAGGGTCTTCTCCAGTGAGTGCTCCCTTCTCATTTGGTGGCCAAAGTATTTGAGCTTCAGTTTCATTATCTGGCCTTCCAGGGAACAGTCAGGGTTGATTTCTTTTAGGATTGACTGATTTGATCTTCTTGCAGTCCAAGGGACTCTCAAGAGTCTTCTCCAGCACCATAGTTCAAAAGAATCTATTCTTCGGCACTCGGCCTTCCTTATAGTCCAACTCTCGCAATACCAAAGTCATTACACAGGTTTAAATTCCAGAGGTGCCTTCTCCTCCACACTGAAGGCGATTTATTAGTTATCAGCAACAAGTGATGTAGCAAACTTGCTGAAGCTAAGGAGGTCTAAGTCTGGTCAAGGTCTAGTGAGAGGCGACTCAGGTACCCTATGTAAGCTGCCTTGAGTTACAAGAAAGAAATATAAATAAATAGAAAACGGGAATATCCTACCTAATGAAGGTACAGCGCTTTCGATTTTCCCAGAAAAGAAGAGGTTCACTGTTTTTGAAATACAAAAAAAGAAAAGGGGATTTGTTAGAAATTACAGAACAGCAAAAATCAGAAATATTTTCGAATCATCAGCGTTTTAAGGTATGGTCTGAAGGCACAGGATGCAGCAACTCTGCTGAAGCTCACTGAGTCAGGGTCTGGTCGATACCTCAACGGGAGTCCTCCTGGGAACCCTGCGTGCACGGTCTTAAGTTCCATCATCGAAGAAAGATATAACAGAAATGTAAAAAATAACCGCATTCTCCCAACAAGAACCAGCATTATATTCCTCACATGGCCTTAATTAAAGAATGTATCTGTGTAAAAAAAGAATGTATCTAGTGATGAGATTAAACAACTGATTGATTTTAATACTGCTTTCTAGATAGGAAAGAGAACAATAACAAATAGTGCATTCTTAGGCAGAGTTACACCCTTCTAAAGCCATTGACTCCTCTGGACTCCAGTTTGATGTAGTGGATAAGTGCACAGACTCTAATCTGGGACAACCGGGTTTGATTCCCCACGCCTCCACTTGCAGCTGCTGGATGACCTTGGACAAGCCATAGTTCTCTCAGAGCTGTTCTCTCAAGGGCAGTTCTGGAAAGAGCTCTCTCAGCCACACCTACCTCACAGGGTGTCTGTCGTGGGGAGGGGGAGGGAAAGGAGTTTGTAAGCCGCTCTGAGACTCCGAGTGAAGGGCGGGGTATAAATCCCTCCTCCCCCTTAGAAGAGTGTAACTCTTCTTAGGATTGCACTGGAAAGGTAGCAATTTGCCCATTTATATGGTCAAAATTGAGGTGGAGATAGATCTAATCCACCAAAAGTTTACAAAGGAGCAATGTTCCCTCTTAGCTGTGGAGTCTTCTGAGCAGAAGTCTGATGATAGTGATAACCACCTACATTACGGGGTTGTTGTGAGCTTACGTGACACGTTCTGAACACTAATAATCAAAGTACTGCATTAACGTTACAACATTAAACAAAAACGTATGAGCCGGAGGCTAAAAAACTGTGAGCTAGCTCACATTAACTCGACTTAGAGGGAACACTGCAGAGGAGTACCATTTTGTTAGTCTTGAAAGTACCACAAGACTCCTATTTATTTTTGTTTCCACAGACCAACGCAGTTACCCACTGGCACAGTGGCCAAGAGTGAGCTCTGGAGGGGAACGGTCCACAGTTCAAGAATCCCTTTTTAGCAACAAACTCAAAGTAGTCTTAGACAACCCGCTATTTTCTCAGCCTCAGCCACCTTCCCACTCCATCCCTCAATCTGACGATAGTGATAACCACCTACATTACAGGGTTGTTGTGAGCCTACGTGACACGTTCTGAACGCTAATAATTAAAGTACTGCATTAACGTTACAACATTAACTAATGAGTTTCTGCTGTTGGGTGTGGCCTGTTATGCTAATGAGTTCCTGCTGGGCGTGGCCAACTTGGGAGCCAGCCGGAACTCCGTTCCTGTGCGTTCCTGCCCAAAAATAGCCCTGACATGCATGACACAATCATACACAGTAGAATGCAGATCTGTATTTTACTACAGCATCAACACTGTTTGTAGGGTATATGTCGCTGTATTTGCAATTATACAAGCATGCAAAAATTTAACATTTTCCACATTTGAAATCTTGTCTAACAAGAACAATGACTACATCCACAAAACAATGCCTACAACAATCTCACTGAAAGCAAATTATGTTATATTAATAATACTGTATTATAACCGAAGTAGTTTTTTCTTATGTTAACGAAAAGAATTTGCTATGCCAGTTGCTGACAGGTCTGACCACGGTAACAGCAGAACAAAAGGATTTTTTTTAATCTCTCCATAGTGCCATATTTACTTGAAAGGAAGACAATCTTGAACGTAAAACAAGCCCTTCTAAAAATGTCACACACAAAAAGTTTATTATTGGACATAACTGAAACTTGTATGCAAATTTAAGACAAACACTCTCTTTTTATGATATATCTCGCAAAAATTTAGTTTTGCATTTGAGTAAATACAGCCATTTAAAGAGCCACTCTACGGTGCTACCTCACACTACTTCAACCCCTAAAAAAGAAGCCAACAAGCTTCAAAAACTGGCAGCATTTCAATGGATGGAGTGGGGGGAGTTGGAAGAGTTGAGGATGTGAAGTAGCAAAATTGCCTTTTCCATTTTCTAAGCAGTTAAGAGATGGCATGGGGATATAGCAGTGACATCAGAGTGAGCCCTACATGTTTATTAATTAGTATTACCATTAGCATATTATTTTATTAGGCAGTTAATGCATATGCTGATACTGAGCAATTATTTCATTAGCTTCACAGCCTATGCTGGGGTTTCTTTCTTCTTTAATCACAGCTGTGGCACACGCTAATAAACCTCTATCCCAGTGTGCTACACTACATGAGATAGCCACTTTACTCAGAAGTTATCCAAAAATAATCAGGTCTGCCATCCTTGATCAAGCCTTCCAATATCATAGATTTCCTAGTCTAATCAAGTCAGAACGATTCCCTTGTGGTGGAAAGTGCCATCAAATCACAGCCGACTTATGGCAAACCCTGTACGGATTTCATAGCACGAGACTTTCAGAGGTGGTTTGCCATTGCCTCCCTTTGTCTTGTAACCCTGGACTTCCTTAGTGGTCTCCCATCCAAGTACTAACCAGGGCCGACCCTGCTCAGCTTCCACAATCTGAAGAGATTGGGTTAATTTGAGACATCCAGGTCAGGGCTCCCTAGGTCTGATTAATCACTCTCCACAAAATGGTTCCAGTGTTATACAATAAGGAAGAGGCAAGACCTACTAGGCTGAAGAAGAAAAGGGGCAGGGACTAAGATGGTGTAAGCAGAGGTCATTTCGGGGGGTATCGCGGGGGATCGCAGTTCCCCCGGGTGAGGTACGGGGGGTGGGGCACATGACGAAGCCCCGCCCCCCGCTTCCGGCTGCCCCGCTTCCGGCCCTCATTCAGCCAGGAGGAGGCAGGAGAAGAGGGAGGGTAAGTTGCTTCCTCCCTGCCTCTCCCCACCCCTGCCTGCCTGGGGCCAGGGAGGGCCTTCGCGGGGCTTCCTTGCACTCCCGCCGGCCTTGCAGGTCCACCGCTGGGCCCCTCATGGGGCTCGGCAGTGGAGCTGCAAGGCCGGCGGCGGCCGGGACCGTTGGGGGTGGGGTGTGTGGCCTTATGACACACTTCCGGTGATGTCAGGGGGTGTGGCATATGCTAATGAGTTATGCTAATGAGTTCCCCTAGCTCTTTTTCTACAAAATGACCCCTGGGTGTAAGGAATGTATCTGTAAATGGCACAGGCCCAGTTCGGACACCACATTTTGATCCAAGCACGGTTTGGAGGATCAAGAACATCTCGTTGGCTCACGTACTTCCCCCTCCACACTTTCTGCTTTCCATCTCTCCCCTCTCAAGTGTGAATTCCCTCCTCCTCCTTCCATTTTAGTTTCTAACCAGTTGGCTTCCAAATTATGGGACTGGATCCAAAGGTGCTCTTCCACTAATGGAAGGATTTCTTCTGTGAATCGAAGGGCACCACTGGACCCAGCTCCACAGTTTCCATCGAAGATATGGTCTGTAAGCCTACTTAAACCCACCGTTTCTAAACATGCTTTGGAGCAAATTCTTAGTAACTCTTGTTCACTCGATTCTGATACAGAACAAACCAGGAAAGAGAGTAGGAAATCTATATGTGAGAGAGGATCGGGGTGGGTGAGAGACAGAGTGCCTTGGCCTACCGCACATTGCCACAGCATGCTAACTGCACTGAGCTTTCTTAACTCAGTTTTAAATATTCTGAAAAAATGAGAGAGATCAAATGGGTGGGTGGGTTCGTTCTCTGTATGCATACACTGCATGTCTTGCCAATTTTTATTCAGTATATTTTGTGACAAAATCACTTCATATTTAAAACAAGAATATTTATAGAGGGAAATGGTGAAGGGGGGGGAAACATATTTGGGGACACCAACAGTTAATAAAACATTTTTTCAACTTTTTTCGAAGTGAGAAGAAGAAAGAGAACGGGTTCCACGCTGAGAAGTCTGTCACAGCAAAGACCATACTGCTTGCAAACATAAAAGATGGAAGGATCCCCCAAGTAGTAGGCGGTGTCTGAATTCAGACAGCCAACCTGGGCGAGATTCCAGGGGAAGGCCTCCAAAAGAGTTAAGCCTACACTGTTGGTACAGGGTAGTGAAGCAGAATCACAGAAATTCTGACTGTCATTTGGAATAAAAAGGGGTCTGTTACCCAAGGACAGAGTCAACCGTGGTTTGTTGTTATGTATGAATGCAGCTAAGGGACCATTTGCAAAGGCGGCATTGGTGTGCAAATTCCTCCATCTAACACTGACAACCTTACTCCGTAAGATTTAAAAAGGTAAAGGTTCCCTTGCTCGAAAGCCAGTCGAATCCGACTCTAGGGTTGCGATGCTCATCTCCGCTTCAAAGCCGAAGAGCCAGCGCTGTCCGAAGACGTTTCCGTGGTCATGTGGCCGGCATGACTAAACACCAAGGCGCACGGAACACTGTTAGATTTAGATGTCCCTTAATCTTGAAACCTCTCTTCAAACCATCTCTGCTTCAGATGGTGGGGAAGCACTGTCGGAAGGCACTAGAGCAGAGACAGTGAGCCGTGTACTGGGCACAGTGCACACATCTTGTTTTTTGACCTCTAAAATACCAATGAAAGCTAGACACTTGCACATTTATAATCTGGGACCCAAATTCTTCAGTCTCCTGCAATTTAGAAACTAATGTATTAGGTTCCTTGCTGCTCACCATGAACTGGATCCAAAGATACCTTTCTACCAAGGGAGGAATTTTCCATTGGAGAAAAAACTCCTTCCACCAACAGAAGAGTCTTTTACATTAAAACTACTTCATCAACAGCAAAAGGGAGGTAAAAATGATTAGCAAACACCAATTGTCTTGCAGCATCTCTTCCCATCTAGTGCGTCTGTCTTTGCAAGCAAAGGAAGGGGGACAGTTAGATAAGAACATTAAGAACCTCCTAGCAAATTGGAGGGATTCCTTGTCTTAAATACAAGAACATCATGAAGAGACGTACAATAAAACAATCTGAGGCTGATATGTATACTGCATCTGAATTTCATAACTAGAAACTTGCTGGGAACATGAAATGGAGATTGCTCTAGGCAGGAGGGAAAGTGGGAGGTAAAGCACCCAACAACAAAGCAAAAAAAGGACTCCCCCCTCCTGCCACTATTGAACCATCAACAAGATGAAAACACTGGTTAAATACCATACATTCCATCTTCTTTCTATAACAGAAGATCCCAAGTAAAAGTAATAACTAGGGGAAAGGTCCGACTTGCAAAAACTGGGTATAAACTTTACCTATCTAAGATTTCAGCACTATTTTTATCAACACAACATCTTTGTTGCCAGTCACCAATGCATTCCGTTTAACAACTACATATACACTATGACAGTCAAACCCCCAGTTGCGTAAGTTTGACAGACACACTACAGATTTCAGGGAACCACAAAAGGCAGACTCTGTGCACACACACTCATAGCCACGAAGTCTGGGAACCTTCCTTTCAGACTCCTCCATCCAATTTCACAGGTGAGAAGTGACAGAAACCAAGTTTTTAAGCTGGCAAAAGCACATCTGCATTATTACCTCATGATGGCATTATCAAGAGGTTTTTCAGTGAAATAGCAAACCATTTCCATTCCGAAAGGCTTCTGTCTGAGAAATAATACTATCAATGTGCATTTCTATTACATTTAAATGGGCTTGAGGGCGATGTTCTATTATAAGAATCTTTTTTCCTTGGCAGACGGTATACAGTGTTATGGGCGCCACATCAAGCAGGCTAACTTGTTTGCGCGACAGAAGTGAGACGCAACCACCAACCGGGCTTGCATTACCGACTATAAGCTACTAACTTTGCAAGATCTGCTATCTCCAGCTGCAATAAGATTTTTTGTTAAAGCCTCAATGGCAAATCAAAGATCACTAAGTCACTAATGCAATGACAGACACTGTCCCACTGAGCCATTTCCATGCCAAGCATAATCTGGGTGCAGAAATCTATGTTTTTTGTTGAACAAACAGGGCTGATGTCACTTCATTCTGCAGTATCCTATCATGTGGCAGAGAGAAAAAAAAGCAAAAACACTCAGTATGGCCAGCGTACACCGAATGCTTGTCCTTGCACGCTTTGTGCGTGCACTCTGCCCTCTGTGCATATGTACAGCACATCAAAAGATTTTCATCCAAGCACTGAATACGTTTCTCTTAGCTGGGTGTTACGTGCACATTTAGAGGACTTTTATGCCATCTCTCGAGGGAACGTACCTGAGACAACTCCCTTTCTCATGCCCAATTTGTGTGCCAGTCCCACCACCACCCCATGCCCCTGCCTTACAGATCTTCCTCTGGGCATATGCACAACACTCATTAAAAGGGTTCAATTTAAACCCTAAATGCATTTCTCTCAGCTAAGCGTTATGTCACCCACTTCTCTATGCTCAGTTTGCATTGCTGACTACTCCATATATTATTATTTTCATTTACAGCTTCCCCTTCTCACTGCGAGCTGCGGTGGATCACAAGTATGTGTTTTAAAAAACTTTTCAGTCAATCAGTAGGCGGATTACAAAATAGGACGAAACCAAGACATCAGCAAGGAGATTACAACACATGATAACATCTGAATCAAACAGCAAAGGTTCCTTTCCTTGTTGCACCAACCATTTAACATATTTTGAAGAGCATGTGCTTGGGGTTCTTTTTTTCTTCCCCACCAGAAGATGTTTCTTCGTCCCAGTCTCTAACTGGGCAACCAGTAACAGCCGGTCCCTAGGGGATCAAGCGTTTGCCTGGTCTCCTCTCTTCCCCCACTGAATCGCCTCTCTTTCCACTTCCTAGCTCTCTGCCTGCGTGCAATCCCCTCGCAAAGCAATCTGCCTGCACGCTTACCTAGGAGTAAGTCCCACGGATACACAGCCAGTGGGGCTTCCCCACCCACCACATATAGTCATGGGCTTGCTTGTGCGAAAGGGGGGCAAGGGGGGGGGGAAGCCTTCCTGCACATCGCCTACCCCCCTCCAAGCCCTCCTACCCGGACTGCGTGGGAAAGGCTTCTTCTCCCCCCCTTGCCCGGTGGCCCCGACTCACCCAGGCAGATGGCAGCCAGCGGTCCCAACGTGCCCGGTGGCCGGAGCTCTGCGGACGCCGCGTCCATGGCGGGTCCCTTTGCCCTTCTCCAGGGGAAGGCGAGGAGGAGGAAGATGCGTCGCGGCTACGGCCGCTTCTCCCCCCTCACCGCGCCGCCGAACCCGGGGAGGAGGCGGAGGAGGAGCCGCCGGCCCTTGTCCAGGCTGCGGGGCGGCGGCGGCGCGTCTCCCCATCGCCTCCCCATGGCAGCCGGCCTCGTCCCGCCGCCGCTGCTGCGACTGGAGACGGGACACACAAGCAGGAGA